TCACAGAATATAGTGTAATGTGAATTGACTACATTTTTGTTGGGGAAACGCGGCAGTCAATTGCGCACAGCTGTGTGTCACAAACAGTCGTGGATTGAGTGACCAATTTATTATTTTTTTTCAAGGAATTATTTCCCCCAGAAAAGCGATTCGCCAATTGACTAAAAATCGGGTTCCTACTTACTGCTAGGTAAACAGAGGCGTGTGGAGTAAGGAAACTTGCCCAACATTTTGCCCTGCCGGGAATCAAATCCATGCGCAATACAACAACAACAAAATTACATTTGTATAGTGCCTTTCACGTCGGGAGGTATGGTATATATGGTATTCCATGGTATGGTATTGAAATACCATATTTCAATACCATATATTTCAAACATTAAACCAATAGATGATTGGGTGCAAATAAAACCTACAGCTTTACCATTTATTCCAGAACCTTCAAGAAAACGATACACTTTTGTAGCTACAATATTCAATGTCCTCAAAATGTTCCTTCCTAAGAAATCTGATTAAAATAGTGCAAACGGACCATTCCTCACCCAGGCAGCAAGAAGTCAGTAAGTTCTTTAGCATCATTCTATTTAGAGCTTTTAAGTTCTTCTGCTAATTTAGATCTAACCAAACCTACCCACACACCAAACTGAGTAAGATGAGCCATATAAATACATAGAATTTGCTACAAATATGGTAATGTCTTCTCATTAAGCCAACGACATCATAGTGTACAGTTCAAATAAAAAAGGTCTTTGGTACTAGAATACAGCACATTTAACTTTGATACATAAAAATTATCAACAAAAATAACGTGATCAAAGTGACGTGATTCTTTGGGAACAATATCTCTCTATAGGGAAGGGATTGATCAACTGTCAATCATTAATTGTAATTGTCAGTTGATAGAAAGGCAGAGAGAAGAGTGAGCAGTCTTGGATATAGTGAATGCTAAGTGAATAGAGAATATTGGAAAACAACTGATCCAATGAGGGAAACCACTGTGGATAATTCAGTGGAAGATGTTTAAGATAATGAAAGGGCTTGAAAATTGAAATAGTCAGGAACTATTTCTACTGGCGGTTGATCAAAAACGCTGATTTAAGATTATAACTAGAACTCTGAAAGGGAAGATTAGGAAGATTTTTTTCTCCAAAAGGATTATCAGACTACAGTTTGATTTGCCAGAAGTGGATATTGAAGCAGAGTTGATTAGGACATTTAAAAGGAAATTACATAAGTATATGGGGGAGAAAGAATATTAGAGGATGTAGGGAAAGATTAGGGAGCTTGGAATAGGACAGATGGCTTCATTGAATGATGAGAAAACATGAATACTAATGCAATGAGTCAACGACCTCCTGCTGTTTTATTGATTTATATGGTTTCCACGATGATAAAGATGGAGCTTTAGGTACAGGTAAATTGAATAGATGCAAGGAAAAGGGAGTGTGGTGGAGAAAAAGTGTTACAGAAAGGACCAAATGTGAGTAGATAACATGCCGCGTACATGGAGTAGGCAGATGTGTTCTTTTTCAAATTATTATTTAAAGATTTCATAACAACCAAAGTACATAAAATTGAAACCATACAAACCAGAGCAATAAAAGGGAAAACATGAAAAAAAAATTCCCAAGCGATCATCCAGCTGCAAGCAGAAGGAACACAAAACATCCACTGTTGGCAGTACCAAGGTAAGACATGGAATGTAAACCTCATTCGCAAAGGAGTAAACCCATTAGATTTCTCTACAGTGAAAAACCATCAAGAGAGGAATGCTGGAGCCCAATGGAGCTTTCCACTCACTAGACCAAACCACAAGATCAACTATACTGTAAATAAAGGTAAACGTTTGCCTCATCAGACTCAATCTACTTCAGAGGTTATGAGAGGTTTACCACAAACTTGATGAGGTGGAAGGGTTTTCTTCTTCTAACCAAAAGTAATAAATCGTTAATGTACAAAGTTTGCACAATTTTTTTTGCACAAGAGAGCACAGGTTTACCAAAAACACAGGAGATTCATATGAAGAAAGCCCTCAGCCCATTTGATCCCATTTTTCCAAAGTATTCTGCACCCTATCGTTTTCTCAGTACGGGATCAAGCAATTTTTCAACAAACTTTCCTGTTAACTGTCCCACATATTAATTGCCCTCTATACTAAACAAACCCTTCAGAACCCTCAACTCAGGGCTGTGTGTCCTGCTACCTTGACAAATCTGGAAGCATTATTGTGAGTTTACTTTCTCTAACCGGTGTGTAATTTGAAAAGGATCGTTCCAGCTTACCTTGCCCTCATATCTTGGTTACATAGTGATATGGCATGAAAAAAGGCCAATCTGCCCAACTAGTCAGTCTGGGGTCTATGCTCTGCATAAGCCCCACCCTTCCTATTCACTTTGCTTGTCTCATATATGAAAGATCTTCCTCCTCAGATAATTCTATTCATAGATAATATGCTCCTCCCCTCTATGTTTACTGCTTATATGCAATCCTTATATTTAACTATGTTACCTGTGATCATCCTAAGTGCATACCCTGCCAAGTTCTGTGCAAATGTGATTCTAAACTAAAAGCTGTATTCCCATTTTGAACTTCCAAAATGTAACTTTTGAACTGTTAAGGCCATGCTACATAGATACAAGAACAGTAGAATTCAATCAATAATATAAAACATAGGACATTTCTGACACAATTATAGGGTGCATTGCATTTTGAATATGCATTATGTATGACCACTAACTGGGCAGACATCTTTGGCACAATGGAAATCTGGCATTGTGTCACAAATAAAAAATTACCACTGTGGTGATTATTTATAGCTAATCGAGTCCATTCTAATGACATAAAGTCATCTATAACCTTTTTATTACAATTAAATCAGAAGTCAACGTTTAAGGCACATAAAAGTATGTAGTTAGAATGCCAACATGCCGAACATTTAAAGAAACCAAGAATCTGAGAGGAGAAAGTCCACCATAAAGTTTGGTATTTTTAAATTATTGAGGTGAGAAGCTAAGTGTTCAAATACAAATTCTTACAAACATGTGGTCAACTATATCACCAGATGCTTATGAAAAGAAGCCAGAAAAGGATTATGGCGAACAGATTGCTTAGATTGGTGACAGTCCAAAAGTACTCTCAAGCTATTGAGAGGATATATTGCTTCTCACAGGTACAAAGTGGAAATATGAGCAGTTCAGAACAGACCCAATTTTAAGAGGAAATCGGTGACTGAGGAGGAAAGAACATGAAATTTGGTTCTGAGCCAATAATGCATTTTGAAATTACCAAGGTAATGCGTTAATGGACAGACAGCATCACAATCTAAATCCCTTTCTCTGTCACTTCACAGGAAAGAACATTTTTTTAAAATAACAAGTCCCAATCTACATCATATAATATTCATGTTATAGTTACTATGTTTTTTATGATTATAATTTATCTTGAGGTACAGATAGGAATATATACTCAGCGATCACCTATTTGATAACGTCTCATTGAGATTGTCTTTCATATTACATAATTGGAAAGCATAAGGCTTGCAGATCTATAGGATGTGTAGGATAAAGCTCAAGAAAACATGAACAAAATAGGAGCAACACTGAATGCACGTATAATATTTGAAAACATTACTGTTCATGCTGAGTGAATCTATTGAATAGCTAAATGCCCAACATTTCTCATGGTCTGATGAGAACCATAAAATCGCTGTCTTAAAATTTAAACTTTAAATGCAGAACCACGTCCGCATGTGTATGAGCATGGCTCAGTTGGTAGCACTTTTGCTCCTGAGTCAGTGGGTTGTGGGTTGACATTCCACATTGGGACATTGAACTCATATAGTCTATATCAGTGGGGTCATCCTTTTTGTTGACCAACAAAATAATCATAGAAATATCAAAATAGCATTGACTTATGCCATAAATCAAGAAATATTAAATCAAAAACATTTTTTTTCTTGGCCAACCAAAGAGGTTTATCACCACTGGTCTATAAGATAGGTCCACTGCAGTACTGGGGAAGTGTTGTATTGTCTAAGGAGCCATCCTTCGAATGATATGTTAAACCCAAATCCTGTCCAGGTGGATATTAAAGGTCCCATAGCACCATTCAGAAAAAGTGAAGGGAGTTTTTTTGGGTGTCCTGGCCTCCAAATAAAATTAGGTATTCACTCTGTGACTATTTATAGGACATTGCTGTGCACAAATTGGCTGCTGCGTTCACCCACCAAATACACAGTTCACACTACTTTACAGTATATTTTGTGAAGCACTTTGAGACATCTCGACAATGTGATAAAGTGCTATATCAAATGCAAGGATTATTACTACTAAACTTCATAAATTCAGTTTTAATTTGGAGGCTGGTTAAATTTCCAAAATGTCTGCTCACAATTGAGGAATTTTGCACTGAATGCTACACTTTTATTAAACAATAAAATGATTGACTACTTAAATGTTTAATAAAATGTTGGCCATTACAGGATCAGGCATCACTTATGACATGTAAACTACAACCATTCTAAAGTTTTTACCTGTTTTTTCTAATTTTCCCTTTTATTTCTGTCTCACTTTTTTGTATATTTGTTGATTTTAATGCACTCTGATGCACAGCCAGCTACAAAAGGAGCTTTGAGACGTCCTCTTGATGCGATAGATGCTGTATAAATATAAATTGTGTTGTACTATATTTAAAGAAGTCACATCTGGCTCTCTGGTAGCACTCCAACATCCTTATTTTCATAGGAATTTCCCTGTATAAACGCTGGGTACTAATAGGCATAGATGTTTCCAACATCTTGGGAAATTAAGATTAGAGCTTTACTGTTTATAGGGGCATAAGATAACACAGGAATGACATGCCAAGGATATTCCAGGAATGATATGCCACGGATACTCTGGAGATAGTCTGGTACTCTTTAATGACTTCCCTTTCTTTCTTGTGGCACCACAGAAGGTCAACAAAATTCAGAAAGCGCTAAAATAATCCGCGTAGCATCTTACCAGATAAAGAAATTGAAGCTTTCATATCTTCCCCCTTTGAAGGAGTTGCTTCTGCAGTTTAGAGACAGAAACTTTGGAATCCAGCTACAGCAGGATTAGGACTAATGGCTTGGTTATTGAGAACAGCCTAAAGGCTCAAGGTCTTCACTACCACGTTTTTCAAACCATTATAGTCTCTGGAAATCCTTCCATTTGAAAGATCTGTAACGGTAAGTGGAAAAGATTTGTCATAAGATGCAAAGATAAAGATACAGCTTCAAGTGTTTCTGAAATCTCCCATATACCGCTGTATTATTAGGGATTAAAGACGATTTCTGTCAGAGTACTTTTGCTATTTCAACTTTAATTCCTCTGGGGAAAGAAAGCTCACACAGAAATTCTTTGTTGTGATAGTTCAAGATAATTTGTGACTTAAATTTGGTACAATCCAATTTATTCACTTCCCCTGCACCACTTTTTTCTATCATACCAAAAGCATTAGATTATATTTTTTCGAAAGAAACCTGTCACTCTTATCCAACCTGGAACATTTCACATTGCCATTCATGTCTTGAGAGATCAAGATCCTAACATACAGAGGGTAAAAGTTTTTTTAAAAAGCAAAAATGCTAATTACCCCTGTCCTAAAAAATCAAAACAGAAATCCAATGGTTGTCTGTGTGTGGTGTGTGTGCGGTGTGTGTGGGGGTGGGTGTTATCCGTCGGAGCAAATTCAAAGGGAGTCAGAAATGTAGTAAGTGATAATTATCACATTACTAGACATTCAACAATGTCAACTTCAACAAGAGTCCCAGTAATAACTGTCACTGAGGAACCTCTCTCGCTCCCGATTCTGCTAAAATGTTTTTTTAGTTAAACTGGTATTCCATCACCCCAGCTGGGATTTGAAATGCTGGGATTTGTATGACAGCACAATCAATAACAACAAAAACTGGATTGTGGTTGGAACCACTTTTAAACAGTTTAGAAGCGTTTTCCCCGACAGCAATTAACGACCAGAACATCTGCCTAGATGGTAGCAGATTGGGAAGTCATAAGAGTAGAATGGCCCTCACTGTATAATTAGCGCATCACAAACCACATTTTTCACCCCTACATTTCTGACAACATTACTTTTTAAACTCCATCTTTTCTGCACAATTAAACAATTCTTAAGATTCTATGGCAATCAATCAGCATTTAAAAGAGAAACAGATCAACGTTTGAGCATAATAAGAACAACAACAAATTACATTTGTATTGCGCTTTCATGTCAGGAGAACGGCCCAAGGTGCAGATATAACCTTTCAAAACACCGGGGATTGTTGGATTGAAGGGCAGGTAGGAGCCAAAACTATTAACCTCAAAAGGGTCCAGATTTGCTAATATCTGATTGACTTCCCTAAATTTAGAAAGATACTCAAAAAATGATATTCCATACCTTTAATGGAGGTTTTCCGAAATAATGGAGGTTTCTCCTGTTTTGATTAGTTAAAAATGATATTTTCTTTATACCACCTCTGTCCCATTTGCACAAATGCATTAACTACTGAACTTTGTCCTTTAAACCTCAGGATATAAGATTGCCTGCACTTAATGTGGCTCTGGCCTACGCTGATCTGTCGCTAAGCAACCTAGAGATAAAGGTGGCTTCACAGCAAGCATGTCTGTTTGTCAAAGCTCCTCACGTGAAGACTTGGCTGGTGCTGAGCAAACCTGGGAGTGGACTTGGACCTCAAGAGCACTAAGGTAACTGACATGTCGCAAGCTGTCCTGTAAACATTCTCCAATCATGCTGAAGCCAAGTAGCTGTTGAGGAAATTCTGAAGCTTGGGGTGATAGCTGCTGGAAAACAGTACCTGGAGTCTGAGTTTGTGAACACACGGTCATACATCCCCAAATCCCCCTTGACTGGTCTGCAGAGAGGTAAGCAGCTGCAGCTTAAGCTCTGCACCTCCAACCGATGGAACATCACTCAATGGCAAGGGACGTGTGTCCACATGTGTCAGACACACGACTGACAATTAACAGTACACACACTGAGTACAAGACATTAAAGGAGGTTCAGAGATCACAGAGGCGGAAAGAAAGAATTTCAAGATCACAACACCTATTCAGTCTGCTTTCAATGAGAATACATAAATTAAAACCTGACTGAATATGTGTTGTGATCTTGAAATAATAGGGTTAAAAATACAAAATTTATGATCTGTGTGTGTGTTAACATGGTACTGAATTACGTATAAACTACTATACTGTGTTCGATATACAATGGGCTAATTATAATACAATGTATTTAAAAATAAATTATCGCAATGTATATTCTATCAATATTGTGAATATGTTAAACCGGGGTCCTATCTGCCTATCCAGGTGGACGTTAAGGAAGTTTCTCCTGGTGGCTTGGCCAACAATCCCACAAATAATATTGGATGTTCACTTCTTGGTTGCTTGTGGGACATTGCTGCGAGCAAATTGGCTGCCGTGTTCGCCCACAAATATACAGTCACTCCTCCTGTGCAGCACTTTGGAACTTCCTGCTGACATGAAATGTTGTTTACAAAATTATCATTATTACTATTATGTATTAAATATTTGAATGCATCAGTCAATATATAAATACATAAAAACTTTTAAATGCATTTAAATGGCAGGCTTCACGCAGGGTAGCGTCCTGGAGCGCTTTGAGTAGAGTATAATGTGTACAAACAGTACAGTACCCCAGTACCGGAATGCCGATGCATATGCACAGTGTGCAGCGTGATGTCTCAGTTTTGTTGACATTCAGTTGGAGCAATGTAGGACTTGATGTTACACAGAGGTAAAATATTGTTTGCTTAGATTTTATAAATCCAGTTACTTGCATATTATGCTGCAAGTTTCTGGTTGATTGTGGGAAAATTATGAAATGATGACAAGAAACAGCATAAACCTCCATCTTGGAACCGGATTAATGGATGGATTAATCAGAATCAAACCTTCAGAAGTAGTGTCAACTGTAAAAATGTGTGGGATTTATTTTGTAAGTATATATATTATAATATTATAAGTGATGGATGCAATGAATAAGGATGGCTGGTATTTACCTGGATGTTAGAAAGGCAGTTGACTTTGTTATGTGTAACAGATAATGTTTACTCGTTGTGTCTGTGCTGGCTCTTTGAACAAGCAATCTATTCAGCCCCTGCCTTTTTCCCATACTCCTGCAAATGACTCCTTCTTAGATATCTAGTTTCCTCTTGAAAGCTAATATTTGTTTTGGTCAGCTGGGCGTCTGACACATGTGGAAACCCATCACCATTCTTAGAAGTATCCATATCAGACTGAGAATTCCTTGCATGCCACCCACACATGTAAATTCCTGTGTTGTGCTGGAAAGTACACACTCTCCTGGAGGGCCACATCCTGTTAACCAAATTCCAGAGAGAATGAGGGATAGGTTATCAAGAGCCAAGCATTAGGGACCCCAGAGAGTGTGTTGGGGTACTGCCGGAGTTTACTAGCGAAAACCACATAGCTTGCCGTTGAGACGATTGTCCATCAAGATTCCCACTGCTTGTTCAGCTCGGATCACCCCAGCCATTGACTTGCAAGGTTAACAGGAGCTGAGTGGGGGGATTCCTTGACCCCCAGTGACTGGTCTGCCCCTACAAGTCCTATCAATGTGCCAGTCTGTGCTGTCATCAGTAGTGCCCTGGAGTAAGTCGGACCAGTCAGGCTAAGAATATTCAATATTCTGCCGACAAGCACATCACCTTGGAGACAGTAGTACACATAAAATGTATCTATATCTTTATATGAACAGTATATATCATATATTACATATAATCATTATAGTATAAATAGAATATATAATCAGTATAGAGAAATTATAAAATATCAATGTAATATCATCTGTTTGCACACTATACAGTATGAACATACAGAAATAATCTCTATATACAGTATATATAATTAGTATCTATATGATTATACTCTACAAATACTGGGTATATTATTACCTCTATAAACTATATATGTGATTATTAGCATTATAAATGCTATATCTGTGATTATTATAAACATACATGTGTGTGATTATTATAAACACTGTATACTATATACACACAGTATATAATGTATACTGTGGAGTCCTCTGGCTCAGTGGTTAGGAGCACTTGCCTCGCAAGCGAGATACCTGGGTTCGATTCCCAACAGGATGAAACCTTGGGCAAGTTTCCTTACTCCACAAGCCGGATACAAATCCCTCAGGAAAAAAATAATAAACTGGTCACTTCAATCCACAGCTGTTTGTGGGAAACTGCTGTACACAAATGACTGCCACGTTTCACCCACAAATATACAGTCAATTAACTTTACAGTCTATTCTGTGAAGCGTTTGAGACATCTAGAAGACGTGAAAAGTGGTATATGAATGCAAGGATTATTATTATTATATTATATAAACACAGTATATAATATTACATAAACCAGTATATATTATTATATAATACAATGTATATTACTATATTAACCCAGTATATTATATACAGTGTATATTAGTATTAGAAACACAGTATATATTAGGATATAAACACAGTATATATTATTGTACATTATTGTACATTATTGTAATTATTGTTTATGATATAAACACAGCATATTATTCACCTAGTGTATAGCATAAACACAGTATATTCCATACCCAATGTATTATATATACACAGTATACTCTATAACCAGTTTATTATATAAACACAGTATGTTCTATACCCAGTGTATTATATAACCACAGTATATGATATACCCAGTGTATTACATAAACACAGTATATTCTATAACCAGTGTATTACATAAACACAGTATATTCTATAACCAGTGTATTATTGTAAAATTGTGTTATTGTATACTATTGTGTATTATTGTGCATTACTGTATAATACTGTATGTTACTGTATATTAGTGTGTATTACTATATTATTGTACATTCTTGTATATTGTTGTGTATTACTGTATATTACTAATAATTATTATTTTATTACTGTGTATTATTGTGTATTACTGTGTATTATTGTATATTATTGTGTATTACTGTGTATTACTGTATATGATTGTATGATTGTATATTAGTGTATATTACTGTGTATTATTGTGTATTGCTGTACATTACTGTGTATTATTGTATATTACTGTGTATTACAGTATATTATTGTGGATCACTGTATATTACTGTATATTATTGTGGATCACTGTATATTACTGTGTATCACTGTATATTATTGTGGATCACTGTATATTACTGTGTATTACAGTATATTATTGTGGATCACTGTATATTACAGTGTATTACAGTATATTATTGTGGATCACTGTATATTACTGTGTATCACTGTATATTATTGTGGATCACTGTATATTACAGTGTATTACAGTATATTATTGTGGATCACTGTATATTACTGTGTATCACAGTATATTATTGTGGATCACTGTATATTACAGTGTATCACTGTATGTTATCGTGGATCACTGTATATTACTGTGTATCACTGTATATTATTGTGGATCACTGTATATTACTGTGTATTACAGTATATTACAGTGGTTATTACCTGCTCCCAGTTCCGTGTCTGGAGCTTCCCGGCAGCTGCGCGCGCTCTCGAGCTGGTTCCGGCGCCGCGCGCACCCACCAGCCCCGCCCCCGCACACCCCGCCCCGCCCCCACACAGACAGCCCCGCCCCCACACACACAGCCCCGCCCCCACACCCCGCCCCGCCCCCACACCCCCGCCCCGCCCCCACACAGACAGCCCCGCCCCCACACACACAGCCCCGCCCCCACACAGACAGCCCCGCCCCACACACCCAGCCCCGCCCCGCACACACCCAGCCCACGCCCCCACACACCCAGCCCCGCCCCCACACACACAGCTCCGCCCCCACACACACAGCCCCCGCCCCACACACACAGCCCCCGCCCCCACCCCCGCCCGCCCCCTGTCACAGTGCAGAGCCCTGACCTGAGTCAGCCTTTCACTGGTATCCACAGGGACAACACACAATGTTGGGCTACTTTTGGGCTGATATTTGGTTGACTTTGGGCTACAAATCAATTTTGATTTCTGGTCATCGTGATCGACAGCGCGAGTGGACGAGCTGCAGCCCGTACGGTCGCCCGTGATTATTAGAGAAGTGGAAACGTTCAGACTGAAATTTCCCAATGAGTGAGATGTGTCTGCACAGTTATTTGGACGCACGAGTTCGAGAATGTTCTTTCTGTCCCCGGGGGAAGGGGGGAAAGCGGGTTCTCCTTGGACCTGAACTGGCAGCTTGGTGACTTGCCTGGTAATGGAGTGTCGGAATCGAACCAGCCCTCCGTGATGGTCTCCAGTCTGCTTTTGAGCCGGGTGGGTCCGCATTATTCCAGGGAATGTTGATGACATGACAGCGCAGCCCAGCCTGGCTCATTGGCAGGACCTGGAAGGGCAGATCAATCACTGGGGGCAGGGAGTCATCCCACTCTTGGTAACCCTGCAAACCAAAGCCCTAACTGGTAGGGTGGTCCTAGCTGGATAAGCAGTAGGAAAGCTTGCCAGACAGCGATCAGATTCCAGCAGCACCCCAACGCACACCCTGGGGTCCCAAAGCCATGGCTCTTGCCAACCTGTGCCTAGTAGTTTCCAGAATTAGGTAAGGAGGATGTATTTCTCCAGGGAGAATGTGCATTCCCTTCCAACAATTCCAACAACCATCTCTTGAATGGTTAGAGCGCTCACCTCACAAGCAAGAGGACCCGTGTTCGATTCCTGGATGGGGTGAAACCTTAGTCCACACACCTGTTTACCTAGCAGTACAACAACAAAAATAACTTGTATTGATATAGCACCCCTCACGCAGGGTAGCATCCCAGAGCCCTCAGGAGACATCGGTTGTCAGTCGATCGGCAGATTGCTTTTCCGTGATAATAATACCTCCCACAAAAGAAACAAAATGGTCACTCAATCTATGACTGTTTGTGGGACACTGCTGTGTGTAATTGGCTGCCATATTTTGCCCACTTTACATTATATTCTGTGAAGCGTTTTGAGATAACATGATGATGTGGCTAAGGCGCTGTATCAAATGCAAGGATTTTTGGGACTGGTGATTCAGCCAGTCAGCCTCTCCGGGTAAATACCATTCAGTTCAAGAATAGAGATAAAAGTGTGGTAACAAAAAAAATGGTAGGGACTGGAAGGAGAAAATGATGATCATGTTTGAAACAATAAACAAGATCAATTAGTGGATGTGGTGGTGGGAGGGATGGGAAGGGAAGTTTGATTGATTTGTTGTGGTTTATAGGCCTAGAAACTTAGGCCAAAAAAACACAGCAAGATTGTGATTAAAGGCCCGTCATGGCATTTACATCCACACATATTACAGAACCTACCCTGTTATGGATTTCATCACATTCAATGCATTAATGAAGACCGTCTGTCCTACATTTCAGCGGGTGACCAGATTTGGTCAGGATGTTCAAAATCTGATATCATAAGTGATCTGCATTTGAGGAATAAAGAGAACAGGTGACAGTGCATCCCCCTACAATGGTCACTGGACTGACATTCGTGGATCTATCATGTATCTCTTGAGGCAACAGCACTCTGAGGAGTATGTAGTGCTTCAATAAAATCTGGATTGTACACTATTGGCAGATACCTTGTGTTGTCCATGGCTCAAAGTAACTTCTGCCGTCACTTTGGTGCTAGAAGTTTATTCAGATTCCAAACAGTGACATAACTCTAATACAACAGTTTTCTATTTCAAAAATCTGTGAGCCTGATTACAACAACATCAGTTAGGAAGAAAGCACCTGCACAAGTAGGAATTCTGTTACCTTATATCAGCCAAATTTTATGCGTACATTTATTCCAATATACCATATGAGTCAAATTACATTTTTACCTGGAATCTGTCAGCTCTGTGAACATGCAGGTTGTGTTTAATATCATTGGCACTATCAGAAATGCTGTTGCAAAATTCCACAATCCCCAATGCATGCCATGACTTTTAAATCCTAGCCAACTCTGACTAGAACATTCAATAGGAATTAAATCTTGCTGGCTTGTGCATTAGTACATTAGCACAGTCTGCTTATCCTCTGTAAGATTACTGATAGGGTATTTCAATCCTTTCTTTTTTATTACTTTACTGCAGTTACTTCTTGAATATCATGTTTGTGATATTTCTGGCACAAGCCTCATACTGCTGCTTAAACTTGTGAGCTGTAGCCATTTACACAAACAAAAAGGTAAGTGAAAAGGTTTATAATGCTGAAAGGACATAATAATAATAATTCCTGTTCCTGATATTCCTGTTATCTTGACATATCTAGTGGTGGATTGCTATATAATCTAGAGAATGTGTGTGGCATATGTTTGGCATGATGTACCCTGCAAAATATTGCCATCAGGCATGGCAAAGAGCCAAAGGATGAGCTGTGGCAAGAGTAAACTGTGGCAGGGGATGCCAAGGTCACAATAGATGATCCTTCCCAGGTTTCAGATATGCTTGATTTCTTTACCAGATACAAATTTTCAAAAACAGATCATGTGAGGATAAAATGACCAGAAACATTGCAAATTAACCGCTCTCTAAATAGGCAGGATATATATGGCAAGCAAAAATAAATACCACAAAGATAATGGATAATGTACAATGGAGTATTTTATTTGAATAATAATCCCTACTTTTGGTATAGTCAGTAGGCCATTGGGCGGACATCCCAAAGTGCTTCACTGGATATATTTTAAAGTACAATGACTGTGTGTTTTGTGGGTGAACCCGACAGTCAATTTGCGCATAGCAATATATTACCGCCATTGAAGTGAATGACCCATTTTTATTTGGGGAATTATTGGCCATAACACCAGAAAATGCATGTGTTCGCCAGCAGATCTTTTTAAATAGTGCCATGGGATTTCTAATGTCCACCGAAACAAGCAAATGGGGCTGTGTTTTAATGTATCATTTGACGTACAGTACCTTCGATAATGCAGCACACCCCCAGAACTTCATTGGAGTGTTATCTTAGACTAAATGAGTTCCAAGTCCCCATGTTTGTCTACAAAATAAACCATCACTACACAGTATATCCAGTAAAGTGGGTTGAGATGTCCTCCTGACATGAAAAGCCTATAACAAATACAATACAAATTTATATATATATAGTGCCTTTCACGTTGGGAGAACATCCCAAGGTGCTTAACAATACTGGCTTGGCACCGAGCTGTGGGTGGGGAGAGGAAAGATGACTGAAACCATGGTTAAACAGGTTGTTCTTGAGATAGATTATGATTATTAATAATACCTTCGTACAATGGTCTCAATGCCATTGACATGTACATAAAACTTTTTTTCACAGACATCAAATACATCACTGTTATTGATTAATGAGTGTATCTCTGCATTAATAACACAACTGGTCATGTGGAAACCAGAGCAGATGGTGTGGTAGCCACATCTCTAAGTTTATTTACATGATGTACAGGCTTCTACTGAACTTTTGGAAAGTTCACATTGGGGAAGTGTTTTGTTGTTCTGGCTGAGTTGATGGTTGTTGATTCTGACTCTGCCTCCTCCACCCCCTCCCGCCTTCTACTCAAAAATAAATATCCTGCTTCACCCTACAAATAATATGACTTTCTGAATCTCTCTGCTGGGATAACTTTGCACTTATTGAACTGCAGAGGTGCTTCCCCTCATTATAATAATAATCATAAACCTTACATTTGATATTGTGCCTTTCATATCAGGAGGATGTCTCAAAGTGCATACTGTAAATTAGAGTGACTGTATGTCTTGTAGGCAAATGTTGCAGCCAATTCACACACAACAATGTCCCATTTTTTACTGGGGGATTATTGGCCAGGACACTAGCAAAAACTACCTTCTCTTTTTGAATAGTGCCATGGGATTTTTAACCTCCACCTGAACAGGTAGAGGAGGCATCAGTTTAACATCTCATCTGAATGATGGCACCTCCAACAATGAAGCACACTCCCAGCTTGCATTGCTGTGTTATCTTAGATTATGTGTGTTCTAAGTCCCAATACGGGGCGTGAACCTACAACCTTCTGACTCAAAGGCGAGATTCCTATCAACTGAACCAGACTGGTATGATGTACCGGAATACCACCCTACACTTAGACACAGAAGAATCCTGTCACAGGATTGAGGTGATATGTATCTTTTGTACAGAGGACCTGATGCCAATCAACAGAATAATTATATTTTTGTTGTATCTTTACAATGGGAAACGTCAACAAGTTACTTTTCAATGCAATCAAAGTTTTTAGGAAAGCAACTTGATATCTAATAACAAGATTGTCCACCTAGATAATTATTACAAGTTCTAATGTAGTGGTCAAAACAACAGCAACAACAATTCAGACTTCTTTGAACCTTTCAAGTAGAGAGAATGTCTCAAAGTTCTTTACAAAGATGGAGTGGGAGCCTAACCTGGAAGGGGGACAGCGGGTAGGGGGTAGATGGCTGAAGGTGAAACCAAAGAGATAGATTTTGAAAGAGGATGTCGGAAGAGTGCTCTATCGGGCTGGGGAAAATGGCTGAAAGTTCACTCATCGATGGTGGGATGAAGCAGGCAAGAGTAGCGGAAGGAGATGGAGAATTAAGGTTATAGGAGATCACAGAGACACTAAGGCAAGGTC